GCACTGAGGTTGAACCGAAGGTACCAACTTTCACGAGCGGCTTGATAGCCGAGTTGTACAACTTATTAAAATAGCTAATGCACGTATGACTCAATGCAAAAAAAGTTATCGGGGTTTTCTTGGCCCTGCTGCGAAGACCTCAGTGATTTTCTTTTGAAGTCTTTGATAAGTACTTTAGCTGTTGAATATGTTATATCCAACCGTCATCAAGCCTCTCGTAAAAGTTGCTGCCGTCATTTCGATGTTATTGCGCTGTACGTCGAACTGAAGTTTTGGGGTGTCAAATTTGTGACAAGGGGTGTAAAAGCTACACATTTTTTTTTTTTTTTTTTTTTAGAGTGTAGTAAGAGCGCGCGTGCGAGGCGGTGAGCTTTCTTAAGGGGAGGTGCGGGTCGATAAACGGCAATATCTTGCAAAAAGTGTGTGGGTTTTACGGTGCTTTGTTATCTTTGAATATTATTTTAAATAAAAAATATATAATAACGTCCGCTTACGATCGCGAACCTAGTCGCATTTGAAGAACTCCCGGCGACTCAAAACGGCATAAATTCGAGCCATTTTCTTGTGCTTGGCACTTCAATTCGTGACGTCGCCCGCCATCATATTTATGTTGGGACACACAGTCCCAGCCGTCTCCTCTCCATCGCAGACTGCTGCAGTTTGCACACAATCACTCTCTTTTTTTTTTTAAATATTGTCCTACCACAACCAAATTTGGCACGCATATGGTTGAGAATTTGTAGAATGCAACTATTAAGGTTTTGCTAAAGGTTTATTTATATATATATATATATATATATATATCTATATATATATATATATATATATATATATATATATATATATATATATATTTGTGAAACATTTAAGAAACTTTTGTTAGCCCTTTGAAAAGTGGCGTTTTTTATTTTCATTTATTTTAAAAGAAAATGGGTCGCGCATACCTTATTTCTGTTGCTAATTGGACTCACTGGCTTAAAATTAGCGACGTAGATTAATTTACTAGGCTCTTTCAAGTGTGTTGACATGTCCCACGTGTGCGCAAGAACATGGTTCTTTTCTGCATGCCCACGACATCCAGAACATAAAGATAATCTATATAAAAACTAACAGATAAATAAAAACAGATAAGGCACTAAAACAATGAGAATTTTCTTTAGTTATTGTAAATATCATTAATAATATATATTTTTTTTTACCCTGGCAAATGCTTTTTTAAGCTACCAGTTGCTGTAGTCCAGAAATTCACTGCGCACGAACAAGAGCAAGTTGTACGCCTGCGTTTTCAACTTACCCGAGAGGCGGCTCTGCGCGAAGTCACCTTGGTCAGTTATATGTATTCTCCCATCTCTTACTGGCCTTGCGGTGGTAAGCAGCGTGTCCGAAACCCAACGCCCTAACTAAGAGCGTTTTGTTAAACCTGACGAAGCTTATTTTCTGTGCTTTTCCTCTCATAAAATTAATTTCCAGTCATCGTAGTTCCTTGTTGAAACCGTTACGGATATGTCTGCAAAGGAAAACTAGCACTGACCTTAAAAAATTTGGGCTCAATAACTAAAAAAAAAAAAAAAGCAGTCATTTTTTTTTTTCAATCTTTACCAAAATAATACAACTTTCGTAAGAGAGAGAGAGAATAAACTTTATTCAAATCGGCCCAGGAGTTTTGCTTTAGGGCGAGAAAAAGAAAAAAGCGCGTGTGACGAAGTTAGCGTGGCCTGTTTTTCCCGAACGCCTCGACGTCGATCTGGTCGATGGATGTACACGAACGTCGACCGTGTTCCAACATGCACACGCAGATAAAGAGCAAAGATTGAAACCTGCGGTGCATGGCTGTAGTTGATAAATAAATAAAAATAAAGCCACACTGAACGCTATGTTGTAACAACCTTGCAGCTTAACAAGACTTGTTGTTGGGCTGGTTGCTGCATGATGCTGAGGAAAATTGTAAGCAGAGACAGACGCGAAGGCCGAACAAGCGCTGGTCTGTGTCCCCTTCTTTGTACTCGTCTCTGTTTTACGCATACAAGTAAATTTCCTGGGAACCTAGCTGAATGCCGTGCTTAGCCGGCATACAGTCGATGGGAAGGGGTCTCTAAACCCCGGACGCGGGCCGAATCCGACCTCGGAGGTCTTCAGACCGGCCCGTGGCTGGCCGCGGTCCTTACCGCCGCCCGCGGCCCGGTTCCGGCAAGCCCGCTGCTACCGCCGCACAAATAAACGCGCGTAGGAAACCGCTCCGCCACGCGCACGTAGGTTCTCTCGCCATAGAACACAGGGGACATTGTGATGACCAACATCGCCAGTCTTGTACGCGTGCCACACGGGCAACTCGAATGCCATTTACAACGAATGACATTTGAACGATCGGCCAATCAGCGCGCGACACTCCGAGCGTGGAGCGTTCCACGCGCGACAGATCGTGAGTTGATTCGTTGATCATACGAATGTCATTCGTTGTAAATGGCATTCGAGCTGCCCGTGTGGCACGGGTATTTCATATCTACGTGTCTAACTGCGAATATGAATTTCATCCCGTTCCCATGTAGGACTATATTGTGTCTAGTGTCCTATGCCGTACCTATTGCGTGTTGTCAGTATACGTTCTTTTATTATCATCAGTCTGCTGCCTTGTGTAAACATACCAAAGTTCACATGCGCCTGAATTTAAGCCGTACAAGTTTTTTCGGTCATAAATAAAGTTTATTTCTCACTTGTTTTTTTTTTTTTTCTCCTCTTTGTTTACTTATTCTTTATCGGCCCTCGATGTGCGATATGTCCCTAATCCGGCCCCTTAGCCAAGAAGTTAGGAGACTTTAGGTTTAGACAATGGCTAGAACGAAGCTATAACAGCAGGAAGCGTCAGAGCAGCGCAGCGGCAAGCCATCGCATGCCTAAAAAGCACGCGACAAAACTTAAGGTCTGAAAGTATTAATGTGTGTATAACTTTAGTCTCTATATACATGAAGAGTTCAAGCATTGCTGCACCTGTCAGATTATGATCAATCCGAAAATTAACCGGTTTATAGTTGAAAAGTAACATAGTAGGTTAGTGATTGTAAAAAAAAGCATTCTGTGGTGATGCATCATCATCAATATTTCGGAGCTTCTAATATAGCACCGTATTAATTGGTTGTTTGAAACTTGACAAATATAAGTCATGGCTGACAACACACACATTTTGATTTTAAAGTTGCAATCTTCAGCAACATTCGGATTCTTTTGATTGTGGTGAAAGTTACCTGTACTGCTGATACCATCACTGCTTGTACATATTTTTTTAATTACTGGTAGGGGACCTTCTTCTGTACCTCGCCCCTTCCCCCCCCCCCCCCCCCCCGTCCCCTACGGAAATGGGGAAAAGGCCGAGTATAGAGGTTTTTTCCCATAAAACCCCATATGGGTTTATAGGGAAAAGAGTCCTATACCTGAGCAGTGCCCGTCTTGTCTATCCTGGAGCCCATGTCGGATTTTGCATCACGTGACCGTAATCGCTGTGGCGGAGATTCGCAGGGAATTAATTCACGCACGATACGGCAGACGATTATATGGCCGAATCCTCTCACAGGTTCCTAGATAGCAATTTGGCATAGGAGCGAGCAAGGCATGTTGTAAATCGCGCCACGTTGCTTTTGTTTTAGCCATGGCCTCAACGATCGTACACCAGCCGAACACGGCATTGCACAATTTGTTGCGAGAACATATGGCTTTCTTGAAACTCTGCAAAAAACAGCACAGTTTTTTTGGTTTTTTTTTAATTTTTGGATTTAATTTGCGAATGCGTGTTAGACCGCGGTAAACGAAGCATGTCAGTTGACAAATTCGACATCGAGCAATTCGGGAACGAAAGCAACACAAACTTCGTCATAAGCGCAATTTTTACGAAGGTCGTTGGGGCCTGAAGGAGATTGAAAAGATCAGAACTAGCTCACTGGGTCCCAAAACATTACAAAAAACCAAAGCAAGTTTTTTTTTTTTTTTTCTTATATCGGTTAAAGCGACTCTTGAAGATGAAAAAAATAATGAATTGGTCTATGAAAACGCACATTAAATAACTGCGTCGGTTTCAACAAAATCTCGTTTTTTGGGAGCGTATTTTTTTAGCGAGGCTGCTTAGCACCACAAGAGCAGAAAAAAAAAATGAAAAGTATCAGAAGCTGTCTAATTTGACTCGTAGCCGCCGCTCCGCTGAGCTAAAACCATTGGCATGAAGCTTGTAATTTGTTTTGGGTCGCACATTTCTTGAGTAAACCCGGATTAGTTGTCAATCCAAAGTAAATTTTTTGAATACGACAATCTCTATGTGACCTGCACGCAGACTTGTACTCGTTCAGAATTGTACGAAAACCGAGCCAACCGTTTGCTTTTACACCCCATGACCATGCTGGCTGGTACGGGACATGCGCAGAAAGTGAAGTCATGTGGCATACGGCCAACGGTTAGTACGTTGGAAAACACGCCATGCCGCATCGTTCCAGCCAATATTTAAGCGATTGGGAACCAACCAATCACGGCATTGTACCGATTATTACGAAAGTCTTTGTTTAAAAGTTCACGAAAGCTGCAGTTTTTTTGTTTTTTTTTTAATCTTTTCTATCTTTCTGCGCACGTTCGAACACGGTCGACATGCGTATACACACTCATCAATCAACTCGACATGGAACCATTTGGGAGAGAAAACAACGCTAACTTCGTAACGCTTTTTGCAAAAGATCTTCGGGTCCGTTGAAGATTGAAGAGATGAGCACACGACGACTTTCAATTGGCTCGCTGGGTCGAAACTTTCACAATTCGCTGTAACGGCTTCGACGACACATTGAAGACTCAAAAATAAGCCGTCGGTCAACTAAAAATAAAGCAAAATAATTGCGTAGGATGCAATAAAACGCGCGGTGTCGGTGCTGTCGGCCTTAAAGCGGTCTGGTCAGGTCTTTCTTTCAGGCAGGCTATTTAGCACTGTATAAGATCAGAAAGGAATGGGAGGGTACCAGAAACTGACCAATATGACTCTGCGCATAGCGGCTGCTCGGGTGAGTTGAAAACACTGCAGCACTCAACTTACCCTCGATTATATGTCCAGTAAATTTCTCGACTACATCGATTCGCTCGAATGTATTGGTGAGTAAACTAAAGCAAACTGGATGTGACCATGGTCGTTGAAAGGACAGAAGTTCAGGAGAAGCTCCTTCCATCCCTTTCCACTTTAATAAAAGAACGCTGGAGAAGAGGTGACTTCCTCTCCAGCGTCCGCTCTGCTAAAGTGGAAAGAAGTGGGGGAACTTCCCCTGAACCGTTAAGCCGGCGACCCATTGCTCAGGCATTATACAAACGAGTCTGCAATTACGAGTCCGTGGTTCGAATGGAGCGTGCAAAGTTTTCTCCTTCAACTCGTTGCCATGCGGTATTCGAAGCACGGATATCGCGCTGACTCGCATTCGAAACTGTATGCAGACTGTCTTTTATATGACGTATAATTCCCGGGTCCCACTCGAGCGACAAACAGATACAACAGGTATACCGACACGCCTGAAACCCGCGTGCATCATACACTCGAAGCAGAGCCTTTTGTACTCTGACTCGAAGGTATCTTTGGCAGGCGTGCATCCACTCCTGCTCACTTGCACGAGCACCGAGGCTCCAAGTACACTGCACTCCAAGGCAACAAAAGGTATTATCGCGTGCATGCTGCACGTGTTTGTGTTGTTTGCGGCTTGTCTTTGTCTTTTGTTTCTGTTTGTCGCTCTAGTGGGACTTGGGCATAAGCAGTGTGACCCCGGCCTTGACCTGTCACCACCTACGTGGGACGGGCGTGCTACTCACTGGGAACACGTTTCAACGCACTCGGTCTAAAGCAGTCCTGAGCGTGTGAAGCAGCCTTTAGACGCATCGTATTTTGGGGTCATTAACTCATTTTCAGGAAGGGATGCGAGGAGGGCCACCAGGAACTCCTTGGCGTGCAACGTTCAAAACTCGTCCGTGAAAGAAAGGGTTCTTTGGGAGTCGCGTGTTTCTCCTTTTAGCTAAACGGGCGGTCGGAGAGCTTTACGGTGAAATGAAGTCATTTGTTCCCAGAAGGAAGGTGTCCAACGGGACTAGCTAAACCGGCGGTGGCCGAGTGACCACTCGGCCACCAATCCCCCTTCTACTGACATCGATCTCAATTTGTTTCCAAGCATTTTCCAGGATTCTACGACCTCTGAGAGAGTGCGGAAGAGAGCTGTGCGATGCCTAAGGCAACTGCGCTGGGCGTCATTGTATTCAGCATATCTTCTACTTTATTCGGGGGTTCGCTACTTTTTGCTGCACATCTGAGCCAATTTTCTGTTGTTTTCGTCACAAACTTTCAATACAATTACCCAGTTTGACGAATACAATTCCCAACAGTCCACCAAAGTGTTCAAGCGCACGTCGGATGGCAAAGTAAACCGTTTTTCTCCCACCTCCTTGAGCTTACTTCCCTCGAAGTGGCTGTCCCTAAAGTACTTCATCACGTGCACAATTTGTTCTCTTAGTTTTTAGTTAAAATTCTTTTGACTGCAAGTTCAAAATGAGCGCGGTGCAGCCGTACGTGAGGACACCTGTGGAAGACTCTCCCGGTAAATGTCTCCTAATTTTGGCCATGTCGGTTGCGTTGTCCGTCAAATAGCTTCTCACGTTACATTTCCTCTCGTTTACACAATTCGTTATTGCATTTACTGCGAGCTCACCGAGGTTATCTGAAGTATCCGAGTGCCCAGAAGTATCAACGTTGTCAGAAAGAAACGTCTGCCCAGTTTCATCATGCGACAGTGACGCAAATTACTGATTTATTGTGGATGTTACACACACCGTCCGTGCTCATGGGTGAGGCGTTCGATTTCTTTTTTTGGGCGTATGCTTCCCCTAGCAAGGCGTTTCCTACCAAGTGCCGAGAGGGAGGCTTGTACCCGTGACCCAGCATGTTCGTGAGTGCAACAAACTCCGGGGTAGCTCAAAGGCTCGGAAGGATATGTTCGTGGCGCCCACAAATCTGGCTACTTGCTTGTCTAAACTACGTCTGAAGCTGGCAGACGTCTGGACAATGAACGAATCCAAGACCTTCTGTGGCGCATTCTTGGCCTCCCTGCTGCCTTTATGGTGTCCAGCCGCAACTACGTCCTTTACGAAGCAGTTCCTTCGGCTCTAAGAGTCGATTTTATAATAATAACATAAGAACTCGCCTGCTGTTGTCAGGTCGACTTGAAGTGCCATCAATGAAGTATCCGCCTGAGAACCATTATCTACGTCCTGTACAATGGATTGTGTTGCGCAATTCATCGTACAGCTTGTTGCTCGCCTGGTCGCGAGCGGCAGGATACCCTTCCAAGTGTTTCTCAAACTGGTCAACTAAACCCTGCATTTCCTTGCCACAACTTCTAGAAGTCGCTCTTTCACCACTTGTTCTTCTTTTTGGACAGAAAATGTCTACACAAGATAGCCCATTTACGTCCGGACATTCTGCGTTATTAAATTTACAGAGTTCGGTTCCCGACGCGTCGATCACGATATTGTTACAAAGCAGCACTGAACTAGTGAAAGACGACTCCAATGAGTCTGTCCCTCTTTATTTATTCTGCTTTTATTTTCCAAAGCGTTCAGCCAAGTTGGCTTCATGCACACGTAGATACTGACCCTTTGCTTGTAAGGACGGCCTCAAGCACATCGAAAGGGTAAAAGAAAAAAAAGTTTTTAGAATTAGGCAAGAAGAGAGTGTTAATAATGTTACAGAAGTAAATTCAAAGAAACAGAAAGGACGAAGACGTCCTGTCTTCCTTCTTTTCGTAGAGTTTTTGGTATTGTATTTCTCTGTCGGTGCCGCGCAGAACAGTGAATTTAAAGCTGGAACGCAGTAGTAGCCCCACGGCAATGCTTATTCCCGTGTTGTTTCTGTTTAAAACCGGTAAACTTTTGTATTTCAGGAAACAAGTAAATTATATTGACCCTGCTTTTCGAAATATCTTCCGCACAATATCCGAATTTCTAATTGTCCTCCGAACAATAAATTCCATTTAAAGCGGAGCCCAACTGCTCAGATTGCTTCCGCTAAACACTCGGTGTTTTCGTTGGCAACAGCGGAAGCTCTGAAGTTACGTCATCCAAAGAAAGCCACGACAGCTCTTGACCACGATCTCAGTAGAACAACCTCGTTCTTATTCTTTTATTCGCGGTCACTGCTTCAAACGGAAAATGTAAGGTTAAAAAACCTTAAAAAAATAAAAGGCGTTTACAAACCTCTGTAACGCGAAATTAGAGCGCACCCAAGCAGCACAGATTTGGCCAAACATTGGCCGATGACTGGCAATGGTCATTTGGCCAGTGGCCAGACAGTGGCCAACCATTGGCCTATGATTGGCCTTTCTTTGGACATTGGCCAATGGTCTATGGCCATCAGCCGTCGGCCAAGCATTAGCCGATGAATGTGCACACTTTGGCCATTCTCCAAAAGACAGTCGCCAGCCATTGGTCAATGCTAGGCGAAATTCCGTGCTGCTTGGCAGCTCTTGCTGAAGAGGAGGAGAGGAGGGTACGGAGGGGAAGGTAGGCCCCTCCTCCTCCTCCCCCGTCTTCCGCTTCCTCCTCTCCCCTCCTCCCACCTTTCCTTCTCCCTTCTCCTCCACCTCTCCTCCTCATTTTACTCCTTCTCCTTTCCTCCTCCCCGTACCTTCCCCTTCTCCTCCTCCGCACGTGACGCCAATTTTCCCGCTAAATCAAGCGGAGAAACTGAATTTGTTCATAGGTGACGTAACACCAAGTCCATGTGACGTCATTTTTCCCACTAACTTTAGCGGGGAATTGAATTGTTAGGAAGTTTTCGTACATCGTTTTCGTCGTTCCCCAACGCTCTCCGCAACCCGCTACGGTAACCGGAGCTCTACAGTCAAGGCCATGAGCGCGCAGGCGCAGTAGCGGCTTCCTCGTTGCGGAGGGCTTAGCGGAGGGGGAAACGCGGTCTACGAAAACTCCCTATTGTTGAGGTCACGTGACGTCAATTTTCCCGCTAAATTTTGTGTGGCTACGCCGACGCCGCGAAACCCGGAAACGGGCGCCTAAGAGCTGCGCTCTACAATACGTACGAATCGGTTATATGCATCATTCACGTGTAATTTGGAATAAACCGATGTGCAATCACGTTTAAAGGCTGCATTCCTAAAAGCAAGGAGGCGATCATCCGACATTTCTTGGTAGGTTATAGAAGTCTTTGCAACGCCTCTGTACGATACAAGCAAAAGAAAATTAAAATGTGGTCACTCATGTTACATGTTTTGGTTCTAGGCACTTTGACGTTGGCTGTGATATTAGTAATAAAAAGGCCAATTACACTCGACGTGGTTGTAGTAATTCTAGTTGGAGACACTCGTGTAGTAGGCCTCCTTTCTAGATGAGCGTTTAACTTAAATGAAGAACAAAATCTGGTTTATACCATTATATGGTAAAACCAGTTATTTAAATTACGATTTAAATCAATATTTAAATCTCTATTTAGATCATCTTGATGTATTTTTCTCCACCCTGGTACTGTCCATTACTGGATTAGAATCACCGCCTTATGAAATGCTTATCTTCTTAATCCACCGATGTTGGTAAGTCATCCCTCTGTCGATGATTCCTCGGTGGGAAACTCGTTCAAAGGGGAAAGAAAAATGGCAGCTTTTACAAGGACTTCCAAAAGTAATCAGTTTTCTCTTGTGGCTACTTTCTAACAAATGTAATCAAAGGATCACAAAATTACAAAAAAAAAGTAAACGATTACAAGTAATTATACTCTCAATGAGTACCGTTCAAGTTTGGCACTAAAAGCCAATAAATGGAAAGCTAAAAAAAAAAAAAAAAAGACCGAAGCATAGCAAAAGCTTGCCCCACTCTACAACTATGCCTGATATTCCAGATGCTCCCGATTTCGATGCCAGAGGCTGGAAAAAATGGGACGGTCGTCTTGAAAGGCCTGTCGGGCTACATGCTTCAGCTTCTTTCTCAAGGCCTCGGGTTCAAGTGAGCACCCTCCGATCTGAAA